CGCATCTTCTTCATACTCACCGTTCCTAGACCTTTCAGTCCTTCTGGTGGAATCTCTGCAACTGTCACAAGAGAATAAAGGTCTTCTTTTGCATCATCATTGTCATTCCTTCTACGAGAAATGCGGACTCTAATCCTCCTCGGAACAGATCGGATACCACAGCTCCAAATTTGTTTGTTGAGTTTAACATCAACCCTCACGTCATTTGTTCCCATGGCTTTCTGTGCAAACTTCCTGATTTCTTTGATGGCCTTAGGAGCCTTCTTCTTGAAAGTACTGCATTTTGAATGAAAAGATAAAACTGATCAGTTAAAATTTGTTACTGCATTCTTGGCATTGCTACAAACTACTACTCATGACCAATACTCAATAGTTAAATAGCTAAATCTATGTAATTTATTTCAAAAACAAGCTGGACCATGTTGCACGCTACAAAAGAAAAGAAAAGGTGGTGGGGCAAAAACTTCCCAATTACTGTGATAGAGAAAGTATGTGCATCCATAATCCTGTCACTATCACAACATAAGAGAAAAGTATAGAGGAAAACGGCCTTATTCCATAATACAATCAACAGTTGGAATAATACAAGCAAAGTTAATGAAAATGACAACAAAAAGTAAGAGCACTCGGTGCTTCCACAATATGTGACCTATACAGCCCAAGAGATTATTCAGACTGAAAAACAGAGACAGAAAATAAGACCCGAGAATATTGCATTCCACCGTTCCCATCAGCTTAAGTTTTAAAATAAACCCAATAAGAAGACTTCCAGTGAATATTTGCCTAAGGCCAGATCCAACATGTAACATTCAAAAATCAAACAGCAGCAGCAGACAGCCAAAACCAGTTCTACAAAATATCTCTCACTTTAATGCATACTAGAGCATATTATATAGCCCACAGCACTGTGTTACAGTTTCTATGAAGATGAAGAATTTTAATCAATATGAATGATCATTCAACAACAATTTACAATTCATACATTCGGTATCACAGCCATCAAATTTTGTCCATTGACAGGTGAAACGTACAATTGTTATCGCTAATTTAATGAGTAGTATATTGACAGCAGGCAGACTGAACTTCCGCAGGCAACAGCCTTCTGATCCACAATTATAGCATAAATAAAGAGAAACTATAAGGAGAACCATAAGACATTATGCCAAAACCTCCTCCGCAACTAATAACAAGTTCTTGCTAATATTCAGGAAACCAAATGTCAAAATAGTTCTACTCTACTGATAGTGAGTCATCACAACAGCCTTATCCAGTTAATCTCAAGTAAAATGATGACTACAATACTTCAGCAATCATTTAACCTCTAACAACTAGTGTTCCAATAGCTAACTGGAATGAGACACAGAAACCACCAAAATTACCAACAATAGGAATAATACAAAAATATAGTAACCAACCAAGCATTACCAAACATTATTGTGAAAATATAATCTGATAGAACAAGCTACAAATATAAAACAGAAGTATGAAAGAATATAGCAATATGGAAAAGACAAAGCAGAAAAGATGGGTTACCATCCATGCAAGCGTTTATGGAGGTTGATTGTGTACTCCCTGGTAACCACTTCCTCCTTTCTTCCCGTTCCCTTTTCCACCATTTTCACAATCTTTCCAACTCTTCAATTATAACTGCATTGATTAATCCACAAATTGGTTACAACTAGACAAGCATAAGAAAAACAGAAAGATTAGCTTGCTTGACGAGAAACCAAAACAAAGCAATGCAAAGGGTTAGCAGTTAGAAGACCGAATGAAAATAACCTCAGGGTTGAATAACCAGACTAGAGAATATAATACATAGTCCTCACTTATCAAATTAAGATTCAAACATTATCACGTTGTAAAAAACAAATCATTCAGTCAGCCAATAAAAATGGAATCAGAGATTAAAAGGTAACGTGTCCTTTCCTTCAACTTACAAGAAAAATTAACGATAAGAGGTAATCAGATCCTCAAAGCTGCTTTTATTCATCCTGCTAGCCTAACCCACGTGTACTACGAAGTAACATGACTGTCTTATACGAACAAAGATTAAGGGCGCAAGAATCCTCATGCTAAAATATTAAGGAACATCCAAAAAGCATATATCCAACCTTATTATCCGTTAGAACAAAAACTATATCCCTCATTGACAGAAGAAAAACAAACTCACAAACCAGATTACAGTTAACACTGCAATCTTCTTCTTATCCAAGACTGCACCAGGTTGAAAGAGTTAAAACGAAAAAAAAAATGTCGCCGGGGATTCACAAGCCAATTTTATCAGTGGATTTTCTATAAAAAAGAATTGAAATCCAAACAAGACATAAATGCACAAATCTGAAGCTGAACAACATAAAAACAAGATCTGAAACTATTACGAACATGCACAATAATCAGATTTCATGAAATAAATAACTTAAATATCCTTTTTTTTTGGTCAAAACTTCAATACCCAGTAAAAGAAAATCAGAAAAAGAAAAATATATCTCCACAATTAAAAAGAAGGAAATACCAGAGAGCAAAACCGATGTTAACTTCTCTATAATGAATGTGAGAAGAAAGGAAGAGACACGTTACCTGAGGAGGTAGCAGACGCTCTGGCGACCTTGAGAGCGAAGGAAGAGGGAGTGGCGGAGTTTAGCGCGAGAAGATGATGGAATCGGAGGAACGAGTTTAAAAATGTTAGGGTTTTGAAGACACATAGATGAAGGTAATGGGCCGGGTCAAAACTGAATGATGAAGGCATAGCCTTAATAAAATAGTGTTCGGCTTATACGAAAAATATTATTTTTATTTATTTGGATGTAGATAATTAATGTAATTATATTACAATATATTTAATTTAGAAATATAATTATTTGACCAAATGAAAAAATAGGTTTAAGTTATTTGAATTTAAAATTAAATTATTCATTATTTTGTGTAATTTATCACATTTAAATTTAGAAATAATTAAATTAATCACTATTTTAATGTTTTAAAATAAATATACATATATAAAAAATTATTTTATTCACATACACGCATGTCTTAAATAATAAATTCTATAAATATATTATACTATTATATCTTAGTTCTGTCTAAATAAACCTCTTCTTAATTTATAAATAAAATTTGAAATTAAATTTAGTATTTTCCAACTAATCACATGCATTTTATACCTTCAAAACCTTCATCCCATTTGCATATATTCATATATATATATATATATATTATATTATATATGAGCGTGTCTGCGTGCATGCAAATATATATATACATTGCAGTTGCTAGTACAAAATCATACATTTTTAACTTGAAATGAATAATTAAAAACAGTGAGGAATAATATGATGTAAACCCATTTGCTGGCCTAACCAGTGGTCTGTAATTTCTGTACAGCAATTTTTTCTTTAAAGAAAAAGCTTCAAACTAAACATGAATGGCTTCATAATTTGCAGAATCGAAAGTGACATTTTATTTAAGGAACTCGTTCTAACACCCGCTGCAAAGACTTCTTTATACCTTCTTGATCAAGTGATGTTGTCAGTTGGATCTCCTGCACCTGAATTGCAGATCCAGAGCAGATTAATAAGAGATTAAAAATCGAACAGAGGAGGAGAGGTGAAGCCATACAGGGCTTCATTTTACCTGTCTTCCCGCGCGAGCAAGAAGGATAAACTTTCTATCAATTGGTGGTGCCTACATCGATACAAACCAAAAAAATTTCTCAGCTTATTTGTTTAGCGAAATTAATACCTTTCTTGCATAAGAATGTAAACTCAAATTTGCTTGAGCATAAACCGAAAAATTATGAGAACAAAAATGTTCACTGCACAGATATTAAATTTCTCAGGAAGGCAAAAGCTAGATCATGTTCAACTCACATTTGAGAGCCAAAGCTGTAGGTCTTGTGAAACTACTCGTTTCTCGAACCCTTGTCGATTGATTCTTACATCAATTATGCTGCACAAGAACATCATTTCAGAAACTGTCTTAATATTTTTTATAATCTACAACTTACTTCTCAGAAAACTAGTAGTTATGTGTTAATATGAAAGGAACCACATGCTGATAAACAATTTATAAAGTATTTTAAAGTTACAATACATTTGAGAGTTACTTCCAGGGTGAACATTTTCTAGATCTATTCATATATAAATAATAGAATGAGTCATTTTTTATTAGTTTAAATCTTTTAAATAATTAATTACGATCAAATATTTAGCATAATATTATAGCCTCATGTGAGTTTAGTTAAAAAAAAAATCAATTAAATTCTATTATTTAATATAGTATCGATTTAGTGTTCAAATCTAATTGTCCCATTTTTTCTTAAAATTTAAATTTGGCATAAGATTCGACATGCTTGGTATTTAATGTACACATCACCCTAGTGAACTTTACCTAAGGAGCCTTTTCCTATCAACTTAATTTTTTCAAACAACCTAAATATGTTCTTCCATATTTTTAGATCTGATGCAAATGACAAGTTCACATTCAAAGGGAAGAAGTTCACTGAAACCAGTTTCCGGTATTCCACTTAGAACACCATCGCTTAGGAAAGAACCTATTAGATGTAGACAGTAAGGAACCATACCCATCTTCTTTGAGCAACTCTTCCACTATTGCTTCAAGCCCCGGAAGAGGCTCAATTTTGCTCTCTTCATCTATATCCAAGGAATGAGAACCAACAGCATTATCCTGTGAAGTCAATTGCAGCAGCTGACTTAATTTTGCCCTCTTTTTTTTTTTAACAGCAAACAGAACATTTTTTCAATATTGACTTAATTTTGTTTTGCTGATTCATCTAAGATAGCCAAAATACACATAAGCATACAGAATCTGGTATCACAAACCTGGGAAATCACTTTGTCTAAAGTTTCTAGAAGTGGATCTTCCTCCAACTGTTTGATTGACAGAGTAATCCTAGATCTTTCCCTGCATTGATTCTTAATCAAAAGCAATTCAGTTGCTGCGATAATATGACCCAGATGTACAAAACCAAGAGCAAAATCCCGTGAGCAAAAAAAAAAAGTAAGCAAGTTGATACCAAGTTTGTTAGAATATAAATAATTGATTGAACACTTTCCAGTCAGCTTAACTTTTTCTTAGTAATTGGTTTACTCAATTATTTAACATGACATCATAGTCTAAAGTCTAGTATCCGGAACCTGGTAGCTTCATTTATATTAAAATTAACTTTGCACAATGTTTGATGGGTCTCTACATGCTTCCCGCTTTCAGCTGGTGGGCATATGTGTGCAGGAGGGTGTTATAATATAAATAATTGATTAGCTACTTTTCTATCAGTTTTAACTTTTAGGATACTGGTTTAATCAACGGTCTTAAATAAAGTTAATTGACACTATAGAGCACCAGAAATTATGATTCATCACATCATATAAACCCAAAACTTTGAACTTCCAACTTCAAAGTATGAGAAAAGAGAAAAGAAGAAATATATACGGGCTGTAATAGTTATAAATGAAATAAAACAAATGGAAGTCTTTCCTTTATCAGGAGCAGTAACAACATTATACATTATCTTTTTCAGATGTGGCAATTGGGATGATTTCCTCAGATGATAATTCTTGTTGTCATAGATCTAGAACTGGACCCGACCATATAGGTTGAAAAAATGTTTTAGGAGAACTGAAACTAAGAAGTACGACAAACTCACCTGTCAATGTTGATGATTTTGACTTTAATTTCATCACCCTCATTTAATACATCTCTGATGTCTTGAACTAAATCCCATGAAACTTCTGAGACATGAACTAGTCCAGTAAGATGATAGAGACCTGCAGCACAGTTTATAAAAACAGTCACTAATAGTTTTGCACAATACAAAATCACCAAAAAGCTTGATACACACAAGTCAGGGAAAGCGAAGAGTGGATACCATCAGGGAAGCGTAAATGAACAAAGGCACCATAATCCTCCACACAACCTACTCTTCCTGTAAAAATATCTCCTACATTAAGTTTTTCAGAGAACTTGGACCATACAGCTTCTTTTTCTGAGAAAATCAATTTCCTGTTCTCTTCATCTGCTTGGATTACCTAAACAGTTAAGGTACAAAATATATAAAAAAGAATCTCAAAATGTTTAACTGAGTGGATGCAAGAAAATAATTTTAGTATCTGAATCAAAATGTAATTCTCTCTCTGTTTATTGCCCTTCCAGATGCACAACCCATGGGCAATTAGGTATTCAGCTGCATAATTAAGTCCACTAAGCATTCTGACATACCGGGTTAATATTTTCTGGATGACTGTAAAGAGAATATCATGGACAAACCAAGAGCACATATAAAAAGAAAGAGAAGACTGAGGAAACAAAAGAAGGTTTCAATTTTTTGAGTTCAGATAAAAACAGAACCGAAATGGTAGCAAAAGTCTCCTATTAAAGGGAACTCCACAACATCATGAAACAACTAAGGAGTAAGGGGTACAATGAGGCATCTAAGTCAGAGAATTTCATTTACATCAAGAGCAATTGATCAACTAGAGGCTCCCACTCTTATTTATTCTCCTTTATCTCTCTTTCTTAATAAGGAAAAATTGTCCATGATGCATCCAGGGAGAGAATGCCACAGAGAGAGTAGCAAGAACCACGATTACCACTTCCTCTTTCTTTATCACTTGCATGCACAATTGTAACCTTTTTCAAAGTCCTCCTTTTCGCTAAAGGATTTACCATGAGATATGTTTCAAAAAGTTCTACTATCATCCCTAATCAGTGCTTACAAAGATGCTCGTATCAAACATATATATAAACATAGTAACCAGCAGCAAAAGTATGACATTCAATGTTTAATATAAAGGTTAATGACTTCGTTGGCTGGATCTCTAGCCTAAGAATTCACCAAAAGAGTAAAAAAATTCCGTCACTTTTAATTGACATGAGATAAAAATAAATATATCAACTAAAATTAGCATATAAATAAAAGAAACGTTACCTTAACAGGAATAAGTGAACCTGTCACATCTTTGGCAATCTCATGGATAGATTTGTCAGGCTCTACAGCAAAAAGATATAAAAATCATAAAAACTAACTGCATCGAAGTTTGAAAATGCTATGTTTGGAATAACTCCATAAATGATAAAAAAAAATCCATTTACAAATGCACACTTTGTTTTTGAGTGGAGAATCCGTAAGTTGTATTACAATAAAAATTATATAGAATTCTATGGGAATTGGGAACAGTACTCCAAATTCCATTGATGGAATTTAGATTGTGTTATTCTAATTCCATTTGGAGTTTCATGTAAATCTAATTTTTATTGCATTTCCTAGTTACCACAAATGTAATTTCAAAAATAAACTTTGCATAAATTTTCGGTTTCCTCAAAATCTAGGCTAACTTGAAGAATATTAATTTGATGAAGATCCTCCAAGCATAAGCTATCACTTCAAAGGGAAAAAAGAAAAATCACAATCCAAGAGCTCCAAGGTTTTTAATCAAGGCATTTGTGCAAGTAAATTCTATAGTATTAAGAAATTGGGAACTTGAGCACAAGTAAAGTAGTACCTTTACATGTGCGTGATGGACTCAACTGTGGGAAAGGGAGAAAACCCGAAAGAGAATAAAATCGAATCAACAAACCTCCACCATTAAACCCTTCAACCCTACCCTCGTAGATAGATCCACTACTCTGATAAGCTCTTGCCGCCTTCCAGTCAGCAGACCTCTACTTCTTTGCAGAACTAAGTATTAGATTATACAGCATTAAAAAACGAATGAACTTCAACCATTATATATATGTATATACATACATAATTAAATTAAGGATATCATTAAAAAGGTGGTCCAAGCACAATATATTTATGAACCTCATTTATAAGAACTGTAACTATGACGATAAGTAAAAATTCGTAGTTATCTAATCATCCATAAAATCACTATAAATGATGGTTCATCACTTATAGGTTTCTTAAATAATATAAAATTCAAATGAACTAAAATTCTAATAAATGATAAATACTAAATTTATTTAACATATAGAATATAAAACTATTGAACAAGCATTCATGCTATTATGAAATTGATGAAGTTTTAGCACAAATAATGAAGACCAGAAAAGGAAATACATTATATAATTAAACAAGAACACAAAGTAATGAAAGGAAACAAGGACACACCCGGGCTGGTCGAATCATATCTGAAGAAAGGTCGATAACTCCGGTGGCGGCAGAGGCTTGATCGGTATTCTCCGCGGAAGATGCAGCGAGTTTGGCATTGCAGTGAAGTGGGTTTTTACAGAGAGAGAACTTCGGGAGTTTTAATGGGTAAGCGAGAGAAAAGGAGGAAGAATGAGTGTGAGAAGCGGCAGCTTTGAAGAGATGCGAGAGGTAGCCGGTGACTGATCCCATGGAAACACTGAACACCGGCATTTTTGTTCTCGCGCTGGGTAGGGGAGAAGATGGAGTAGTGGGACATGAAATTTTGGAGACTGGGGAGGAAAGAGAGAAGGGTTTTGGATAATTTGGAGATGAAGTTTTTCTGAAGAAAATTCCATGTGTCAATTTAGCACCCACAAAAAATTCTCCGTCTATAATCTACTTTCCCCCAGTTACAGACACAGAGTTGTCAATTCCACAACCGCAAATTCCAGTAAGAAAATCTAGCTCAACATGTCAAACTAAATCCTGCTCAGCCGAGCGCTGTATTTATATATAATATAGTATAATATAATATCTATATATATAATCCACTCCTCAACTAGCCCAACTAAAGCCCATTGCAATATCTGATTCATAAAAAAAGCCCGTTGCCATATAAATATAAATATAAATATATATATAATCACCTTGAATTGAAATCCAACCCATTTTTGAAAAGTGATCTGATTAGCCTAAGTCCCTTAAAAAGGACTTGGAAATTCATTTGAAATAAGCGATTAAACAATAATATATAAATGTGTATATATCAAATTCAAATTAATAAAGCACTCGTATTATACTCAGTTTAAGTAAAGATAATATTTCTCTTCAAAATAAATAAATAAAAAACTAAAATATGATTGAATTTATTTTAGTATATAAAAATATATAAGTTTTGATTAAAATTTTATACATAAATAATTAAAATTTAATAATAATAGATAATAAATAAGTTCATTTATAATTGTTATGTAATATCCGGTTAACATCAAATTATTGTTTTAATCGTTAAATTCTTAACGTTATTTTAATTACTAAAATAATTTTAATTAATTGTTAATTCTTTATTTCTCAACCAAAGATATTGAAAATATTATAGTAAAATATTTTATACTTGATATTTAAAGTTTTTAAAAATGTTATGAAAAAATGATAAAATAGTTTCAATAATTAAGGTAATATCTTCAAAATAAAAACACTATTGAATTAAATATTCTGAAGATGTTATAACGAGTTAAATTAAATATTCTAACATAATATGTAACGGCTCCAGAAATTTAAAAGAAAATAC